ACTTCACAAATTTCCAATGTTTTCATTGACTGCAAATGCTAGATGTCAATGTAAATAACTCATGACAGATAATTACCATAAGTAATTCAATACACCAGTCTAACACACCATTCTATTATATACCATACACACTAAGCAATATTAAGGAAACTTAAAGAAAGTGTACTAAGTAGTTTCTTTGTTTTCTTTCATGTAAAAGCAAACAGAAGTGCTAATAAAAGAATTTGCTTAACAATTTCTTGCTAGAGGCAGTAATGTGGAATGGTATGAATAGAATAAGCCTTACATTTGTGTAAAATTCAACATATTCACTAGCAATGATTCCAATATGTTAACCCTGTCTAGATAGATGGAACTTGGCCACCAAAGCATGGATGATGACCTGGGTATTTATTTGAAACCTTGGAGCTTATATATATTTTGATACAGAACAAAATGCATGAAAATATATAGAAAAGACTGCAAATTGGTGTATAATTTTAACCAAAGGACAAGGATTTAGGACAGGTAGCTATACCAAGTTACATATATGTGATATTGTACAGGCAATGATGGAGGACTGGCTGCTATAGAAAAGATATCACGTTTGTGTACCTGATTTTAAACTGTGGATGATCATCTGGGCTATGTATTTATTCAAGACCTTAGTGCATATCTGAATATAGATGGGGAACAAGGACCAATGAATGCATTAAGACAATGAACGCATTAAGATAATGAATGCCTTAAGACAATGAATGTATTAAGACAATGAATTCATTAAAACAATGAATTCATTAAGACAATGAATGAAATAAGATAATGAATGCCTTAAGACAATGAATTCATTAAAACAATGAATGCATTAAAACAATGAATGCATTAAGACAATGAATGCAATAAGACATTGAATGCATTAAGACAATGAATGCATTAAGACAATGAATGCATTAAGACAATGAATGTATTAATATGATGAATGCATTAAGACAATGAATGCAATAAATTGATGAATGCATTAAGACAATGAAAACATTAAGACAATGTATGCATTAAGACAATTAATGCATTAAGACATTGAATGTCTTAAGACAATGAATGCATTAAGACAATGAATGCATTAAGACAATGAATGCATTAAGACAATGAATGCATTAATACAATGAATGCAATAAGATAATGAATGCATTCAAAGTGTCTGCGTATTACATAAGTATTGATAGAGGAACTAAGATAAACTGATATAGGAAAGGTTTAATGGTGGTTTATGATTTCAAACTATTGATTAGGATTTAGAATAGATATATAACAACTGTGTCAGTAAAGGTAAAGGCAAATGTCCTACAGAAAGTTACAATACACAAAGCATGACAGCTGTGTATTCTTTCAAGCACTAGACAAGGAGCTATAAAAAGCAACTGTACATAAAAAGCAATGACAGCTGTGCATTATTTCCAGCAATCAACAAATACCTGGGAACAGCTACTGTACAAAATGCATGACCATTATGTATCCTTTTAAGCAATTGACATTAGATCTATGGAAAGTAACTGGACACATAAAAAGGTCACTGTGTCTTATTTCAAGCAATGGCCAAGGATCTATGGAAAGTAACTGTACACAAAAAGAATGATGGCCGTGTCTTATTTCAAGCAATGGACAAGGCTCTAGTTACAGTAACTGTACACAAAGCATGAAAATTGTATGCACCTTCAAGCAATAGACAAGAACCTAGGGAAAACTACTATACATAAAGCATGAAAACTGTGTATGATGATCATTGATTTCAAGCAATAGACAATGACTGATTTCAATCAATAGACAATGAACGATTTCAAGCAATGGACAATGACTGATTTCAAGCAATAGACAATGACTGATTTCAAGCAATATACAATGACTGATTTCAAGCAATAGACAATGACTGATTTCAATCAATAGACAATGAATAATTTCAAGCAATGGACAATGACTGATTTCAAGCAATAGACAATGACTGATTTCAAGCAATAGACAATGACTAATTTCAAGCAATAGACAATGACTGATTTCAAGCAATAGACAATGAATGATTTCAAGCAATAGACAATGACTAATTTCAAGCAATGGACAATGACCCCGGGAAAGCTACTGTACACAAAGCATGAAAACTGTGCATAATGATCATTGATTTCAAGCAATAGACAATGACTGATTTCAAGCAATAGACAATGACTAATTTCAAGCAATGGACAATGACCCAGGGAAAGCTACTGTACACAAAGCATGAAAACTGTATGATGATCATTGATTTCAAGCAATGGACAATGACCAATTTCAAGCAATAGACAATGACTGATTTCAAGCAATAGACAATGAATGATTTCAAGCAATGGACAATGACTGATTTCAAGCAAAAGACAATGACTGATTTCAAGCAATGGACAATGACTGATTTCAAGCAATAGACAATGACTGATTTCAAGCAATAGACAATGACTGATTTCAATCAATAGACAATGAATAATTTCAAGCAATGGACAATGACTGATTTCAAGCAATAGACAATGACTGATTTCAAGCAATAGACAATGACTAATTTCAAGCAATAGACAATGACTGATTTCAAGCAATAGACAATGAATGATTTCAATCAATAGACAATGAATAATTTCAAGCAATAGACAATGACTGATTTCAAGCAATAGACAATGACTGATTTCAAGCAATAGACAATGACTAATTTCAAGCAATAGACAATGACTGATTTCAAGCAATAGACAATGAATGATTTCAAGCAATAGACAATGACTAATTTCAAGCAATGGACAATGACCCCGGGAAAGCTACTGTACACAAAGCATGAAAACTGTGCATGATGATCATTGATTTCAAGCAATAGACAATGACTGATTTCAAGCAATAGACAATGACTGATTTCAAGCAATAGACAATGAATGATTTCAAGCAATAGACAATGACTGATTTCAAGCAATAGACAATGACTGATTTCAAGCAATAGACAATGACTAATTTCAAGCAATAGACAATGACTGATTTCAAGCAATAGACAATGAATGATTTCAAGCAATAGACAATGACTAATTTCAAGCAATGGACAATGACCCCGGGAAAGCTACTGTACACAAAGCATGAAAACTGTGCATAATGATCATTGATTTCAAGCAATAGACAATGACTGATTTCAAGCAATAGACAATGACTAATTTCAAGCAATGGACAATGACCCAGGGAAAGCTACTGTACACAAAGCATGAAAACTGTATGATGATCATTGATTTCAAGCAATGGACAATGACCAATTTCAAGCAATAGACAATGACTGATTTCAAGCAATAGACAATGAATGATTTCAAGCAATGGACAATGACTGATTTCAAGCAAAAGACAATGACTGATTTCAAGCAATGGACAATGACTGATTTCAAGCAATAGACAATGACTGATTTCAAGCAATAGACAATGACTGATTTCAATCAATAGACAATGAATAATTTCAAGCAATGGACAATGACTGATTTCAAGCAATAGACAATGACTGATTTCAAGCAATAGACAATGACTAATTTCAAGCAATAGACAATGACTGATTTCAAGCAATAGACAATGAATGATTTCAATCAATAGACAATGAATAATTTCAAGCAATAGACAATGACTGATTTCAAGCAATAGACAATGACTGATTTCAAGCAATAGACAATGACTAATTTCAAGCAATAGACAATGACTGATTTCAAGCAATAGACAATGAATGATTTCAAGCAATAGACAATGACTAATTTCAAGCAATGGACAATGACCCCGGGAAAGCTACTGTACACAAAGCATGAAAACTGTGCATGATGATCATTGATTTCAAGCAATAGACAATGACTGATTTCAAGCAATAGACAATGACTGATTTCAAGCAATAGACAATGAATGATTTCAAGCAATAGACAATGACTGATTTCAAGCAATAGACAATGACTGATTTGAAGCAATAGACAATGACTGATTTCAAGCAATAGACAATGACTAATTTCAAGCAATGGACAATGACCCAGGGAAAGCTACTGTACACAAAGCATGAAAACTGTATGATGATCATTGATTTCAAGCAATGGACAATGACTAATTTCAAGCAATAGACAATGACTGATTTCAAGCAATAGACAATGAATGATTTCAAGCAATAGACAATGACTGATTTCAAGCAATAGACAATGAATGATTTCAAGCAATAGACAATGACTAATTTCAAGCAATGGACAATGACCCTGGGAAAGCTACTGTACACAAAGCATGAAAACTGTGCATGATGATCATTGATTTCAAGCAATGGACAATGACTAATTTCAAGCAATAGACAATGAATGATTTCAAGCAATGGACAATGACTAATTTCAAGCAATGGACAATGACCCAGGGAAAGCTACTGTACACAATGCATGACAAGTGTTATGATTTTCAATGGACAAGGACCTATAAAAAAGCTAAGATATACAAAGTATGACAACTGTGCATGATTTCAAGCAATAAACAAGGACATAATTAAAGTTATTAAACAAAGCCTGACAATTTCATGTGATTTCAAGTAATTGACAATAATCTGGCATCATTATTTATATAAAACCATGGCAACTGTTAGAGTAAAGTCTGCATGCTTAGGCTTGGTGTCTATTCAAATGGGTAGGAATCATATTTTGTTGAAGGTGCAGAGAAGCACTGATTGGAAAGCTTTCTGGTGAATAGACATGACCTCTGTATATGAGTTCAAACTATTGTGTGCATGTGTGTGCATGTGTGTAGGTGTGTGTATGTGTGATTTGTATCTTTAATGTAGCTTTAACAATTTTCCAGTCATATTGTTACAATGCCTGCAGTGTGGCAGTTTATAGTGATGTCTATCACTGGTGCATCATGCTGCAGACATGTTGCAATGCACAGTTTCATTATCCAGACACCAGGCCAACAAGTCCTAACACTAACCTCTTAATGCTGAGCACCTAGCAAGGCAGCTATTTGTACCATTTTTATGTTTTAGGTATGACTCAGTCGGAGATCAAACCAATGACCTCCTGCATCCAAGGTGGATGCTCTAACCACTAGGCCACCAGAGCAAATTCAAACTACATGTATTAACAATTTTCTAGGAAAGAAATTTCTATAAATCTGTAGTGTATGTACATGCAGAGACAATGTGATACCTAAGGAAGGATGCAATGGAAAAGGTTGTTTTTTTATATAATTTCATACAGTTGGCAAGTTCCTACTATAGTCTGCAATAGAGATATGTGTTCACTTTGCATGATTTGAAACAGTAGCCAATGCAGTTAATTATAGGTTTGATTTGGTTTTGTTGGGTTTTGTGCCACTTTTCAGCACATGATAGGTTCTACATGACAGCCAGTGTACTTGGTGAAAAAAAGAACCCAGAAAGAACCACCGATACCAAGCTACTGGCGTACATTCTTATATATCCACATTGGTTAAACTGAGACTTGAACCCATGTGGACAGAGGCAAGTTCTGAGTGTACTGTAAAGATGAGCACCACTTGGTCACTTAGGGGCTCTAGGATATGGTAATGGCACCATTATTTGTAAATTATCTCAAAGAGTGGACATGAACCTAGATCAGGTTACTATATAAAGACTGGATATGTATTGTAAGAACAAGGATTCTTTTCAGCAATAAAGCTTCACTGTTTCTTTGAATACAGTTCATAGACAATGTTCATATTAAATTACAATGATTACAATATCATCAGCAAATGCAACTGACACCCCCATCACCTACAAAAAGTAAGGAATCAAATCACAGTTGAGTCTTTTACTTCAATATGATTTTTTGGAAATCACTGATTCTAATAATGTTGACATTTTTCAAATGAGCAGGAATGGGCAACAGAAAAAGGGATTTCTCACTACACTAAAATGTGACAATGAAATATTTCTGAATTATAAGCACTTATGACAATTGTGTACATAGGATACATTGCATTGTGAGTTTCAGAAAAAGTCTCTGCAAGATCAAAATTTTTTTGCATCTACCTGGCTGTTTTATAAGTTCAATATAATAAGTTTGCAAAATACTCTATGTCATTACTTAATATCCTTATAATTTTCTAGATGAAACATATTTAAATTTATTATTGCATGATTTGTGTCTGCTATGAATGATAACCATTCCTTTCAGTGAATATAAAACATGATACATACAAAATTTGACACAATACACTTCCAAACTCTTATACATTGTTGAATGAAAACAGGAAATATGTAATCAGACACACAAAATTATTGTTTCACAAAAGAGCACCATAAACAAGCTCTTACAGATCTAAATAACATGTTCCATATGTATATAACATGTTACAGATGTATATAACATGTTCCATATGTATATAACATGTTACAGATGTATATAACATGTTCCATATGTATATAACATGTTACAGATGTATATAACATGTTCCATATGTATATAACATGTTACAGATGTATATAACATGTTCCATATGTATATAACATGTTACAGATGTATATAACATGTTACAGATGTATATAACATGTTACAGATCTATGTAACATGTTACAGATCTATGTAACAATATGTTACAGATCTATATAACATGTTACAGATTATGTAACATGTTACAGATCTATATAACATGTTAAAGATGTATATAATATGTTACAGATGTATATAACATGTTACAGATGTATATAACGTGTTACAGACATATATAACATGTTACAGATCTATGTAACAATGTGTTACAGATCTATATAACATGTTACAGATTATGTAACATGTTACAGATCTATATGACATGTTACAGATCTATATATCAGTTTGTTACAGATCTATATAACATGTAGAGAGTGGCCTAGTGGTCTAAAGCAATAACTGTTATGGATCACTGCCATCTCTTCTCTGTCTTCATGAGTTCGAGTCCAGACTCGGCTAACATGGGTAAGTGATAAAGCCTGCCAGTAGCTTCTTGTGGGTTGGTAGTTCTTCCCGGGGTTTTCTAGGGTTTGTCCTCCACCATTAATACTGGCTGCCATGTTAAGCCTATCTTATGCTGAAAAGTGCCATTAAACCCTACAACAACAACAACAACATATAACATGTTACAGATCTATATAAAATGTTACAGATCTATATAACAATCTGTTACAGATAATGTACATGTATACATGTAACTTTTTACAGATCATGTAACAGCTTGTTACAGATCTATATAACATGTTACATATGTATATAACATGTTACAGATCTATATAACAAAATGTTACAGATCTATATAACATGTTACATATGTATATAACATGTTACAGATCTATATAACAAAATGTTACAGATCTATATAACATGTTACATATGTATATAACATGTTACAGATCTATATAACAAAATGTTACAGATCTATATAACATGTTACAGATCTAAGTAACAACCTGTTATAGATCAGCATCACGAAAACATGATATACTTATTTAGAATGAGCATTGTTTTTTTTGTTGCATAAGATAATCTTTGCCTTTTATCATTAACCTCTATTTATTCTCCAATACAATGTTGAGAACTTAGAAATTACAAAGATATTATTTCATAAATATTAATCTCTATGCCAAAACAACAGAAATTATGCATAAATATAAGCAAATAATACAGCTATTCAAAAATAAGTGTATACCTTTGAAAAATAGCATGATAATAATTTGATCATTAATTTAGGTTCAATTCTGGCATCTGGCAAAGTTTCTGTGTCTTTCCATTGGACTGTTTCAACTTTTTCCCACTAAATGAATCAAGACCTCCTTTAGGGACATATATGAGATCCACATATCAAGGATTCTGAAAAGTAGCAAACAACATGTAAGGTTACTAGTCAGATGTGTATTAAATATAATTCTAAGTATAAAAAGTCATTGTATAGGCAGAGTAAGTAGTCATTTCATTATACAAAGTCCTAGTATACTTGAAGTCTGAGTTAGTCATTTTATTATACAAAGTCCTAGTATACTTGAAGTCAGAGTTAGTCATTTCATTATACAAAGTCCTAGTATACTTGAAGTCAGAGTTAGTCATTTCATATTACAAAGTCCCTGTATACTTGAAGTCAGGGTTAGTCATTTCATTAAACAAAGTCCTAGTATACTTAAATTAGGAGTTAGTCATTTCATTATACAAAGTCCCTGTATACTTGAAGTCAGAGTTAGTCTTTTCATTATACAAAGTCCTAGTATACTTGAAGTCAGAGTTAGTCATTTCATTATACAAAGTCCCTGAATACTTGAAGTCAGAGTAGTAATTTCAGTATTCAAAGTTTCTGTATACTTGAAGTCAGAGTTAGTCATTTCATTATACAAAGTCCCTGAATACTTGAAGTCAGAGTAGTAATTTCAGTATTCAAAGTTTCTGTATACTTGAAGTCAGAGTTAGTCATTTCATTATACAAAGTTTCTGTATACTTGAAGTCAGAGTTAGTCATTTCATTATACAAAGTTTCTGTATACTTGAAGTCAGAGTTAGTCATTTCATTATACAAAGTTTCTGTATACTTGAAGTCAGAGTTAGTCATTTCATTATACAAAGTTTCTGTATACTTGAAGTCAGAGTTAGTCATTTCATTATACAAAGTTTCTGTATACTTGAAGTCAGAGTTAGTCATTTCATTATACAAAGTTTCTGTATACTTGAAGTCAGAGTTAGTCATTTCATTATACAAAGTTTCTGTATACTTGAAGTCAGAGTTAGTCATTTCATTATACAAAGTTTCTGTATACTTGAAGTCAGAGTTAGTCATTTCATTATACAAAGTCCCTGAATACTTGAAGTCAGAGTAGTAATTTCAGTATTCAAAGTTTCTGTATACTTGAAGTCAGAGTTAGTCATTTCATTATACAAAGTCCCTGAATACTTGAAGTCAGAGTAGTAATTTCAGTATACAAAGTTTCTGTATACTTGAAGTCAGAGTTAGTCATTTCATTATACAAAGTTTCTGTATACTTGAAGTCAGAGTTAGTCATTTCATTATACAAAGTTTCTGTATACTTGAAGTCAGAGTTAGTCATTTCATTATACAAAGTTTCTGTATACTTGAAGTCAGAGTTAGTCATTTCATTATACAAAGTTTCTGTATACTTGAAGTCAGAGTTAGTCATTTCATTATACAAAGTTTCTGTATACTTGAAGTCAGAGTAGTAATTTCAGTATACAGATACAATGTCTCTGTATGGTAATACAAAGTACTGAAGTCATTTCAGTATACATATAGTCAGAATAATTAGTCAGTTTTGGTACACAGATAAAATGTCCCTGTATAGTCTGAGTAAGTAATTTCAGTATACATATATGAAGTCCCTGTATAGTCAGAGTAAGTAATTTCAGTATGCATATATGAAATTCCTGTATAGTCTGAGTAAGTAATTTCAGTACACATATATGATGTCCCTGTATAGTCAGAGTAAGTAATTTCAGTATGCATATATGAAGTCCCTATATAGTCTGAGTAAGTAATTTTAGTATACATATATGAAGTCCCGGTATAGTCGGAGTAAGTAATTTCAGTATGCATATATGAGGTCCCTCTATAGTCTGAGTAAATAATTTCAGTATACATATATGAAGTCCCTGTATAGTCAGAGTAAGTAATTTTAGTATGCATATATGAAGTTCCTGTATAGTCTGAGTAAGTAATTTCAGTACACATATATAAAGTCCCTATATAGTCAGAGTAAGTAGTCATTTCAGTATACATATATTAAGTCCTTGTATAGTCTGAATAATTTCAGTATACATATATTAAGTCCCTGTACTATCAGAGTAAGTAGTCATTTCAGTATGCATATATTAAGTCCCTGTATAGTCTGAGTAAGTAATTTCAGTATATATATATTAAGTCCCTTTATAGTCAGAGTAAGTAGTCATTTCAGTATACATATATTAAGTCCTTGTATAATCTGAATAATTTCAGTATACATATATTAAGTCCTTGTATGGTCTGAATAACTTCAGTGTACATATATTAAGTCCCTTTATTGTCAGAGTAAGTAGTTATTTCAGTATACCATATATGTACAATGATAATTACATTATTTTGAAATTTT